TGACGGCCACTCCGAGCGAATCCCGGGCGGTCCGGTCCGGACAGCGCCGGACCACGCGCTCACCTCCGCAATGGTGATGGCGAGGATCAGCCAGGGCGGCGGGCAGCAGGTGTAGTTGTCGTAGTACCACTTGCGGTCGAGCTCGCGGGGCAGCGTCTCGTGGGCGATGTGGCGGACGAGGCGCTGCGAGGCGCTGAGCCCCGGCTCCTCCAGCAGGGGGCGCCCCTGCAGCTGGCGGCTGCCCTGCAGGATGGCGCGGCGGAAGCTGTTGGACCTCTTGTTGCTCATCTGGGGGGCGACAGGGGGAAGAGTACGGGACAGGTCACGGGGCACGAGGACGCCAGGCCCATCCAGGAGAAAATCATTCAGGCGTGCGGCTACTGGGGGACCCATCCATGAAATCGGCAGCAGCGGACAAAGAGGGAAATGTTTTTTAAGACCTTCTGCCTGTTTGGAGGTTAATGGATCTGAGGGCTGGAGCCCTCAGGCTGCCTCCGCAGCTCCTGATCTTCCTGCACTGGTGTGGAAGGAGAGGAGAGGAGATGGCCGAGAGGTTATGGTCTGTCGTACGGGCAGGGGGAAGGAGGGAGCGTGTTCCCGCGGGCCGGCGATCATTGTGCGCCCCGGCTGCAGCCTCCCTCTGACCCGCAGACATCTGCTCGGCGACCAGCACCAAGGAATCCCTGCGCCAGCGGGAGGAATCTGCAGAGTGTCTTGCTGGTCGCTTAGCAACCACAGACCTCACAGGACATTCCTAGAATCCCGACCGTCCTCCATAACAACAAATCTAGGTTGTATTTTATTATTCTTACATTAAACAATGCTGCGAGGGAAAGTTTATTTCAATGAGCTAAAACTCAAATACTACAATCTCCATGAAGGGTCCACAAAGAATACTGAAGGAACACAAATTGATACAGCTCAGGCAGGGTTCCTGACCCTTTTTAAAAACCCTTTTGAAAAGATGATCGTCAGTTTTTTAATCATTGTTAATCACAGAGCCGCAGCTCCTCTCATTGCACATTCGTCTCTGCTCTGTTGAGCACTCGAGGTGTCTCACTCGACAGCTGGTGACAATAAATGCACGAGCACATGGTGTCTCAGCTGGCAGGGTGCAGGACTGGACTGGACAGCTCACACAGGCCCTGGGATCGGGGAGCAGGGATCTGGGCTGCTCTAAACTGTACTCGAGTGACTGATGAGGCCGAAGACTCAGTGGTTGTGAGGCTCAGTGAAAAACAGACATCCTGTTTCATCACTTACAGCCTTGATACGTCTTAAACTGGGTAACAGAACTGGACAAAGGAACACTTAAAGGGACGCCCCTTTCCTGTATTGGTTGTGACCACAGTAGGAAGCTGCCTGTCAGGAAATCCACAGTCCTGAGATGGTAAAATGACAGACAGGGCAGAAATCTTTTCAGGGGTTTGGGGTTCTGGGGGAGACAGACTGTCCCCAGTTTTTCTTTCGCCCGTTAGTTCAGGAAAGACTTTCTGATCATTCTGGCTACAGTTTTGTTTCCATTTGCTTCAGCTCTGCCATT